GGCGGTGGGGGAAGTGATGGGCGGCGGCGGGGAGGGGGTGAGGCGGCGGGCGAGGGAATTGGGGGCTGCGGCGAGGAGGGCGGTGGAGGAAGGCGGGTCGTCGGAGATTGAGTTCCGGCGTTTGGTGGCGGAGATTAGGAGATACCGCTGTGCTTGAAGAGGAAGTGAATACTGTTGTTGCTTGAAACAATTAGAAATCTAAAAATATTTTCACTAAATTGTCTTTGTAGAAGATGTTCGTATTGATAAAAGAAATGTTAAGTCCGTCCTTACCTTTAGGTTATAATGGTGTTCGAGTATCCATATATGTGTGCAATTGTCTTTTGAAGAATTGACAATATGCCAACGGAGAATGATGATAAATATTTGATTAAGCAATGGGATTGCCACTGTTTAATGCATATGATTTTAAATAATCGTCCAAGATACAACGACTTTTATACTTTATAGAGTTGCATTTCAAATGTACTATATTTCGCAGAACTTACTGATGTTTAGAACTCTCAAAAAGTGAAGAATGACAAATAAACACGAGATAAACATGAACTATATTATATTCCATATCAATTTCTCATATTCAAATAAAGCATCTCTAGTGTTAACGAATTTTAAGTCATATGGGTAGTTATGGAAACTCTTGGATATCTTCAGAGGGTTCATTATGTCAAAGTCACCTTTATGGACGTGGCCACTGGGTTAGAACCATTTTTGAAGGAGCATGTGTGTCCGCGTCTCAAGCTCATCGCTTCCAACTGGTGAGCAAGTTCATTCGTCATGCACACCCGCGCTACGAGCGGGTGTGCCAGATAGATGAGCCAGATTGAGGATCTACCTTAACTGGCAATTAGAAGTCTCTGACCGTCCAAATAAAGTTGATAACCTGCAAAATAAGGGTCAGGAGAAGGTCTCGACGTGAGTACTCCGACGCTTAAGTCAGTGACCAGAAAGGGAAAGAATATAGTAAATAATACCTAGAATACCCACATATCAGAGAGAGAAGAGTATTTCAGATGTATTTTATCCTTTTATATAGGGTGAGTACTTTGGTGTCTAATTAATTATTTGTCTTGGCGCCCAAGGACAACCTGTAGGTACGGACTTGCTACCCAAGGACAACCCAGAGTTACGGACTTGTTGTCCGAGGTTTATTCTTATCTGATTGCGTTCACACTTATCCATATCTAATTGCGTTCACACTATGCTACCTGATCATAGTTATAGGTTCTTTCATGTATCGGTCGACCTACTGAGTGTTAGTAGGTATCTTAAGCATTCAGCTCGTGTGCACCCAAACTGCCTTGCACTCGTCTAGGTCAAATAGGTCGATTACACAAGGACCGAGTTGAGTGGCTTGGCTAGCTCTCATCCTGTTTGCTTACCCAACCTTTCATTCTTGTACCAGTCGACCTGCCTGGCGTGGTAACTCCGATTCAATCTAGTTGGGGTTGGAAGGCTTAGTCTAACCGATCGAGCTATGTGGTGTGCTAGTTATTTTAGGTTGGAGCTCCGATTTAGTCGAGCTATGACTATATTAGTATATAAAATTATATTTTTTGTGATGAGTTTCGATTTGACATTCATATTCATATATAAAAATAAATTATTTTATTTATTTTTATTTTTAAATTAAATTATTTATTAATCTATATATAATTGCGAGCAAGCTTCAATAAATTTTATTCAGCCAGCAATTAATAAAAATAGAACTTCATTTAATAAAAATCTTTATGACAATAAATTTTATTCAGTCAGCATTTAATAAAAATAAGACTTTATTTAATAAAAATCTTTATGACCAACATTCAAATACCAGTTACAGAAGTAAAACCTTATTATCATTAATTTTTTATTCTGTAACAGTTTTACAAGATTTTAAATTTTCTGAATATACAATATTAAATTATTTTACAACTAATATTCCTATTATGTTTTATAGTTATACAAAAAAAAATTTATATGAATGTTAAATAATTTATATTATATTATACATTTACATAAATTCAAAATTTTAAATTGTAATACACTTTATGTAATTTAAATCTTTAAATATCATATACGTATATATAATATATAAATTTCTTTTTTCTCTGTGCACACAAGATCGAATACTAGTATACGAGAATAGTGGGGATATAGGGGGGATTTTAAAAATGTTTTAAGATGACACACAGCCATTTCCGGAAAAACGTGATGATTGCCCTGAAAACACCAAATTCAGCAAACTCGTGACTCAACGTATGACAATATAGCAAAACCTTCACTTTTTCTGCACTTTTCTCTTCACGTCCATCTTTCCCACCAAATCTGAAATATCTCTCTCATATCATGCTTGCCGCATCCATAATTCTCAACCTTTTCCTATAGTTTCAATTTTCCGGTTATGGGTTGATTGCCCGCCATCTTATTAACAATCTCCAAAATCATATTTAGGCCATACATTTTTCTCTTTTTTCTTTATTTTGTTTGTCATTTTTCCGTTCAATTTCATCCCTGTTTCAGTTTTTTCCCATTTCGAAATGATGATGAAAGGGGCTGGATTTCTAGGGTTTCGCATCATGCCCTAATTCTTGCCCCTTCCAGACTTGCCACTTTCTCTTAATTATTGGTTTTTATTCAATCCTAGATTTAATTTTTGTTGTTAGCTTTCTGGGCCTTTTGATTTTGCTCTCCACTGGAATATTAATTTAGATGGGAAGATTGATTGGGGGAGAAGTGAATNCATATGATCATACGCAAAAAAAAAAGACACGTCTATGGTCAAGATGTAAGCGAGTATGCAGATTATGAAAAATCATGAAGTTCAGTTAGCATATTACAACAAAAAATATTGTAGGTAGCAAAACCCAAATCATCGTATAGTACAGTTTGAAAAAACTATTTATCCAAATAAAAGTCATCGAATAAATTTTAATATGTATTATGTAATTAAAGTAGTATTAGATGATACAATATATATCTAGTCTATATGTTTATAGCAACAGAAATTACAGAATACCGTACATTTTGGAATTAAGCTGCGGGCTTGACTCCCGCTGACAATTAGTGATGGCCCTTTTATATCATAATCTTAGGAAGTTCAGTTATAAGTGTGAATTGAGTTGGGCTGGTCCATGAACGAGGTGTTTGGGTTTCCACATTATTATTTTTATCTGAGACCCATCAAGTTGAAATGATTTTAGAAATCCCAATTAATTACAAGAAATAACAGATTCGATAATTAATAATAAAGGGTCTTACATAATTCAGCAAGTCTATTCTGACTTGTGATATATGCTCTCGATCTCATCTAAAACTAATCCTTTTTTAGGTAAAGAAAAATAGTACTCTTAAAATGTGAACTTCTAAAATCTAATCCTTTTTTAGGTAAAGAAAAATAGTGCATTCAAAATATGGCTTGTATATCTTTCTACGTAAGTGTTAATTTTTTAAAATATGGCTTGTATATCTTTCTACGTAAGTGTTAATTTTTTCTACGCTCTCACATGCGTTTAGGAAATTGGAATAAGCACCACCAACACGTTTCCATCTAACAACCTTTAATTTTTTTTTTTTTTTTTCAAATAAAATAACTAGATTCATTTAATCAAAGTCATGAACTCGATAAATAACCTTTACTTAATGTATTATTTATCGTTTACCCTTAAATTATTTATTCATTGAAATATGAAAAAATGCATATGGTCTTTGATTGGTGTATGATAATGGCAGTAATTGGGCAATTTTTTCTGTCTACGTATGGACTTTTTTTATTGTTGAAATACATTTGTGTGGGTTCTGTTAAATATAAATATAAATCCAAGTTGCTATCCAAGTGATTAATAGTATGATTTTATCATTGGAAGTCTAAATTCTGATATCAACTAAAATCAATACAAGTCGGAATACATTTGTGGGTTCTGTTATATAGAAATATAAATCCAAATTGCTATCCAAGTGGTTAATATGATTTATCATTGGAAGTCTAAATTCTGATATCAACTAAAATCAATACAAGTCGAAATACATTTGTGGGTTCTGTTAAATATAAATATATAAATCCAAGTTGCTATCCAAGTGATTAATATGATTTTATCATTGGAAGTCTAAATTTTGATATCAACTAAAATCAATACANATACAATAAGATTGAAATCGCAAAAAATTGGATCCCCATTCAAAATATTATATCCATTCAAGTAGCCATATGGGTAGAGGCCAAAAAAGGGTAAAAATAAATAAAAACTCTAGTATTGTATGTAAAGTTAGTAGGTCCGTAAATGAGTCGAGCGGTGCGCTCGAGTCGGGTTCGAACACTTCAATCAAGCAAATGAGTCGAGCCTCAAACTCATTTCAAGAGGCTCGTAAGGTCGACAAGCCGCTTGACTTTTTATTTAGATAAATACCCCATATAATTTAAGGTCATATTTGGCAAACTAACTAATAAGTTAGCTTATCGTTTTTAAGAGAATTTCGAACTTATAGCTGATAGTTTATGACTTATGAGTTATGACTGAAAAAATATTTTATATGATAAAAGTGTTTGATAAAATTAGCTGATAAGCTAACTGAAATAAAAGTTTCAACTGATTTATTTTAAAAGCTACTCATAGGAGCTTATGAGATAAACTCGAACTTTTTTCAAAAGCTCGTTGTACCAAACCAAACTTATTTGAATACAAGAAGCTTATAAGCTAATCAAATAAACTATAAGCTAGCTTATATGCTTACCAAACACAAACTAACTATCAATAGTAGAACATCAAGATTAAGATTGTTTATTTACCTTAAAATAATACTCTTATATTTAAAGTTTAGTTGTTAAAATTTTAAGCTAAAATCGAGTCATGTCGAGCTCGAGCATAAAGTTTAGTTTATGTGTTGATTTCAAATTATCATTAGGAATTTGGTGTGTTGGTTTTTCTAATAAAACATTTCAGATTGTTCATTTGGCCTTTTATATATTAAATAAATAACCCGAAAAAGCTCGTTTTCGAGAACCAAAATCGTGTCGGCCGACGGCCATTAGATCGGATTTACACACAATTTAACGATTTTCGATACACGATCTCAACATAATATCACGGCAATGTCAGTGCAGATTTCATGATAATATATCCTATCTGTCACGACCAAATGTATCTATCCTAGCACCAAACAGCCCCTTCATTTACTACATTATCGGGCACGACGATTAAGGTTTCACATGCCTTTCTGCTACGCACTGCTGCCATTTCCTGCAATTTGGATGCATAAAATATAGTATCAACCGAAAGATACGCTATTTTTTTTTTTTTTTAAGTTAAAAAAATTGTGATAGAGGTTAATATAAATCAAAAAGATACATTATTTAATGTAGTATTGACCAAAAATATCTTATTTTTTTAAATTGTGGCAGATTGTATGTTTTAATTTTATGATTTTCTTCAACAGGGGATAACTTCGCACAGTAAATTTGAGAACAGGGGTGTATATGCAGTTATAATTATGATTTTCACCTATATTTCAAAATTTAATATTGTAAGTCATAACTAATATTGAAGGTGAAAGTGAATTTGGCCTAGCCTCCTGGGAAAATGATATGGTGAACATTCATTTGTATTGATAGATAACTTTTTATACGCACCATTTATATTATTCACTTATACGCAATATTTTTTGTATTAAATTTTATCATTCTCGAGTTGATATTGATAGATAATATAATTTTTATATGTAATATGAATGTCAAATTAAATCTTGTCTATAGATTATTTTATATTTGATATAATTATATATAAAAGTTTGATAATAAATACAAAAATATTAATTTTTAAAATGTATTATAACTTAAATTACCCAAGTGTTTGCCATTTTTAAAACCCAATAACCATAAATAAAAGTCCATATCTATATGAGTACAAAAAATTGGACTGTTTCAAAGTACCAGAAATTGATATAGAATTACAAAGATAAAAAATCGACAAGAAATTGACAAATGGGACTACGAAACACCATACATTGACAATTAGGTTTATGAAACACAAAAAATTGCCATACATGTCGAAAAACTCTGGATTTATATATTAAGAGGTTTAAAATTAGAATCAAGGGAAGAGATTTATTAGAATCAGAGGAAGAAAGTGGGGTCACACCAGATGAAGCGCACCATAAGAGAGTGAGCATAGGTGCACTTTAGTGAGGTTTCATCCCAAACCAATTGGTGGTAGGAGGAATAACCTACTAGACTTATAAATTAAGCTTATTTTCCCTATTCAAATGATGTGAGACAACTCACAAGTGGTATTATTCTAATATGTCCTCTCACTTGTGAGTATTTCATACGAGGCCCAAACCCAACTGGGTTGGGTGACCTAAGCCCAACTTGGCTGGATGACGGCTACGTCATCGCACGGTCCCATGTAGAACCGGCTCTGATACCATGTAAGAATCGGGATAAAACTGGTGCAGTCTCATGCATGTAAAGCGCACCATAACAGAGAAAGTCTTGATGGGTCCAGTAAACTTATAAATTAAGTATATTTTCCCTATATAAAAAATTCCAGACAATTCACATGGTATTATATTCTAATAAATTTTGTATTACTCGATAATACGGTTCAATCCGAGCCATACCAAAAATAATTTTAAAAAAATTATATTTTATATTATTTTCACTCTCCTCACATTCATCCTTTCATGAGGTCAAAATTGATCCATACAAACCCAATTCACATAACTTTACCAAATCTTTGGACTCCGTTAAACCCTTTGCCTGATTTAGACCAAATTATGTGAAGGACATGATACTATGGGAAGAGGCAAAATTTTGTTGTTATTCATATGAAAATACGAACATAAGTTTTTGTTTTTATTTTTTCATACAAGATGATTAATATTGTTCTCACTTCTTCTCTTTGGTGGCTCGAAGTTATGACCTATCGGTCATAGGTGAAACATCTTACCACTAAAGTTGCGCTTCGTTGTCACATAAGAACATAAGTTAGTGAAGCTTATCTGAACGGTGTGTTAGATTTTGCATTGGTGAATGATAGCGAGCTAGTTATTGGTGGACTATTATTTTGTTTTACTTTCTCTTTTAACTTCGATAAAAATAAAAGATTTTGTATTTGCGAAATCGTGAATTGATCATTGGTGTTTTTTTCTTCTTTTGTTTGTGTAAAAACCGAAAAAGTCGCGCTATCAAATCGATTTTTTGGTTAGTGTGGAAACAAATAATATTTTAAGCAACCATAAATTTTAAAGATTGAGGTGGTGCTTGAATATAAATATTAATTGGTTCAATTTAATCACAACTAAAATTATCTTAACTAAATCATATTCAATAGTATTGATATAATAACTAATAAGTAATAACGATCAATCATCACGTCATATCAAATTATCTCAATACACATAGACTCATATAATTTTAATTGTTCATCACTTTCAAACACATCTCTCTTACTTTACATCAAATTAATTTTAATCATTTATTTTAGATTTTATTTGTATAAAAACTCAGATTTCCACTTAAATCTAAATTAACCAACTTTTTCAACTTGATTGTGTTTAACAAAAAAGAGAAAAAAAAAATCAAGAAGATTTATATCATGCACCACATGAACAATTTGGTTCGGTTTGTTTAATAATGGTTCTGTTCTGTCCCATTAACCCATCCCTAATCATAAAAGATACTAGTATTTTATAATAACAATAATATACTTATTTTTTTCAATAGTTTTTCAATTACCCATACCTCAAAGCCCAAACAATGCCTTTACTCGAAGTATGCCCCACCACGGACCCCAACCAAAACAACTCCCATCCCCATTCCTATTCCTATTCCTATTTTCACGGGGCCCTCTCACTATCTAAAAATTCTAAATCACCCCCATATTTCTCTTTCTTCTCCACCAAGTCTATAAAAGGCACAAAAAAGTCTCATCTTCCTCTCCAACTCAATCTCACCTCCCCATCCCAATCAGTCGTCCCCAATAACATCCCTTTTCCTCCTTCTTCTCGTCCTTTCCCGCCGGCCCATCTGTATAGAAGACCCAATCCAAAGCCATCATCTTCAAAAAAATTTCAACCATGGCTACTCCCGGAAAAATCGCGTTTTCCGCCGTTATCCTCTCGCTTTTCCTCCTCTCCTCAGCCCTCGACATGTCCATAATCACATACGACCGGGCCCACGAAGGGGGCCCGGCCCGTTCCGAGAGCGAGGTTGCGGCGCTGTACGAGTCGTGGCTGGTCAAGCACGGCAAGGTGTACAACGCCCTCGGCGAGAAGGAGAGGCGTTTCGAGATCTTTAAGGATAACCTGAGGTTCGTCGAGGAGCATAACTCCGTCGATCGGCCGTACAAGGTGGGGCTGAACCGGTTCGCGGATCTGACGAACGAGGAGTACCGGTCGATGTTCGTGGGCGGGAGGATGGCCAGGGGACCCGGGTTGAAGGGCCCGAGGGCGAGCGGGCGGTACGCGGTTGGGGGCGACGAGAAGCTGCCGGAGTCTGTTGACTGGAGGGAGAAAGGCGCCGTTGCGCCGGTCAAAGATCAGGGCCAATGCGGTAAGCTCTTTTAGTTCGTGATGTTGATTGTAAAGGCAATTTTTTTATATATCTGTGAATATTTTGTATGGATGATGATGTGATGCTCATTAGATTGTATTCATCTGTTCTTTAAGGTGATTTGACTGGAGGCTTTTGATTCGATAGTAGATGACAAATTTATTGTTTTGTCCCCTAAAACATACTTTTTAATTTTGTTTTTTTCTTCGATGATGACTTTTTCAGTATTTGTGTAGCCCCGTTTCTTATTTACAGTATTTGATGGGAGGTTATATGTGAATTACTGCACGGGTATTATTAACTGTTGTGCTGATCTGAACAGTTTTTTGAAACTTATGGGGGCTCGATTAACATATTAGCATCTTGATGATTATTTGTGTTGTAATTGCATTCGAGAACAATCTTGTTATTCTGGACTTGGTTCTAATTATTTGAGATGGACTTACTTATTTGATGCTCTTTTCATAAGAACATTATGCATATATCTGTATATGGTTGTAATTCAGTTCATGATTCATTGTCTATGAAAGTATTTGTTAAAGAAACTAAAACATTATTAAATCTTTAAAAGTGTGAAAATGATGCAATAATATACAACTCATGCACATTGATGTTTATTTTTTCAAATAAAAGGGAGTTGCTGGGCTTTCTCAACGGTTGCCGCTATTGAAGGTGTAAATAAGATAGTAACTGGGGACTTGAAAGTCTTGTCCGAGCAAGAACTGGTCGATTGTGACAGGTCATACAACCAGGGCTGTAATGGTGGTCTAATGGACTATGGCTTTCAGTTTGTGATTGACAATGGTGGTCTCGACACAGAGGATGATTACCCGTACCATGCTCGTGATGGAACTTGCGACAGCTCTCGGGTATGAATAATCCAAATAGGGATTTTTTATTTTTCTCTCTCCAGCTTCATCATTTTTGTAAACCAAGACTCTTGTTAAATGTTCCATCTTTGCAGAAAAATGCACGTGTGGTCTCGATAGATTCATACGAGGATGTTCCGGAGAATGACGAACAAGCTCTAAAGAAGGCTGTGGCCCATCAACCAGTCAGTGTCGCCATTGAAGCGGGAGGCAGAGCTTTCCAGCTCTACCAGTCGGTACGTATTGCTCACCTTGCTCAATAAATGATATTTGTAATGGCTTTGGATCAAATATTCAAGGCCTTGAATACTTTTGATCTCTGCTTATGGTGTAGAAGTTATACTTGTATTCAGTATAATGCTCAACCATCTGGCTATTATTACTTTATCTTTATAGATTTTTGGATGTGATAGTTAGTTACTAAACTTACCCCTGAAATTTGGCCTATCTAAAACGATTCAGTTAGCTTTCAGAAATTGCAAAATGGCTCACTGAAGTTTATTTATGTCCAAGGGGAAAAAAGGTAGCCTCATTATAGGGTTTAGACTTTACAGGGTTAGACATATGTGAGGTAAATATAAATCTCGGAGGATTTTCGTAATTATCTAAGAAAAATACGTTTTTCTTTCTTTCTTTCTTGGTAATTCGACTAGGGCTATGTCTGGTAAACCTAGCTTATAGCTTTTAAGTGATTTCGAGCTTATAGTTGATAGCTTATTACTTATGGCAGAAAAGCTAACTTATATGATAGAAATATTTGGTAAAATCAGCTGATAAGCTAGCTGAAATAAAATTTTCAATAGGCTTATTTGAAAAGCTACTCAATGAAAAGCTTAAAAGCTTATGAGATAAGCTAGAATTTTTTAAAAAAGCAGGTCCTACAAAACCAAACTTATTTGAACTTATGAATTAATCAAATAAACTATAAGTTAGCTTATATGCTTAACTAAACACAACATAAACTTCAAGTAGATAGTTTTTGTAGGTAGCTCATCATATAATCACTAACTCCAACGGAGAATAATATAAAAAAAATTACTGATTTCTTTACAGGGTGTTTTCACCGGACTATGTGGGACCGACCTGGACCACGGCGTGGTTGCCGTGGGCTACGGCTCGGAAAACGGTCGGGACTTTTGGATCGTGAGGAACTCGTGGGGCCCGAGTTGGGGGGAGAGCGGCTACATCCGCCTCGAGCGCAACTTGGCCAACTCCCCCTCAGGCAAGTGCGGGATCGCGGTCGAGGCCTCTTACCCGGTCAAGACGGGCCAGAACCCTCCCAAGCCCGGCCCATCTCCTCCGACCCCAGTGAAGCCCCCCACGGCTTGCGACAAGTACTCCTCTTGCCCTGAGGGCACCACTTGCTGCTGTGTGTATGAGTACGGACGATTCTGCCTCGCCTGGGGCTGCTGCCCGATGGAGTCGGCCACTTGCTGTGACGACCACTCGAGCTGCTGCCCGCACGAGTACCCTGTTTGCGACGTTGATGCCGGGACCTGCTTGATGGTGAGTAACTGAGTATTGTTTTTTTTCTCTTGCCGCATGATTTTTTTGGGGCAATTTTGCATTTTCAGTCTTGCTGTTTAACGCCATAGCACCTTTAGTCCTGGTGACCGACATTTCGCCTTTTGGTCATGCCATTTAACATTTTACTGCAATTTGGGTCCTCTGAATCCTTTGATGACTGAAGTTGCAACAAATTCATAAATTTTTGGATTTTCGATTAGCAATTTAAGTCTTGTAATTTAAAATTTTGTTGCAATTTCAGTTCTGTAATTTAATTTTTTCTTACAATTTTGGACCTCAAGTGTCTGAAATTACAATAAAATATTAAATCACAGGACGAAAAGGCAAAAAGTTGAAACTTTAGTACTAAAATTGATATGACGTTAAACTAGAAATGCATTTTTGCCTTTTTTTGGGTTGAAACTTAAAAATTTTATGTGGTGTGGCAGAGTAAGGATAGCCCGATGGGAGTGCCGGCATTGAAAAGAGGGAAAGCTGATCTGGACTGGTCGAGTCTGCTTGCCGGTGCTAGGAAGTTCAGCAGTGTTTGAGATGGGTCGGGTCGAGGTTGAGGGCATGATTTTATTTAAAAGGGCACACTTTGAATTGGAGTGTGGCAACCTTTGCTCATTAATCTTTCCATTTCAAAAGAACCTGGTTTTTTTATCCTCGGATGATTGTAATTAATTCCTGCTACCTTTCGTTTCTTCTTCGCTGTCTGTCTCTTTAATAGACATTTGGAGGATTCGTGATGTTTTCAATTTAGTCTTGAATTTGCTTGTATATGATTCTAAGGTTTCTTGTTAGCTTGAATTTGAAGGAATTTCTATTAATTTCTCAAAGTTTGAAGTGGATTTTGTTTGTTGGTTGGTTTGTTGGTTTGATTTAGGGCTTCATACAAAGCCAAATTGAGTCGAGCATTTACAAAACGTTTTTT